TTTACAATTTTCTCCAAAAGTTTATTGAGATAGGTCTTTGTAATGACACATTGACACACACACTTTTATCTTTCTTTTGAAAAATGTAGCAGTTAAGTTTACCTTTTGAAAAATCATCTTATTCTGTAGCTGGAGGATACACTGTAAATACACTATCAAGTTCTAGTTCTGAAATTGTATATATTAGAGACATTTTTGAAGAAGGGAAATGTTTGTAATGTCATCACAGTTTTTATTTTAGGATAATTTGTTTTGAATGATATTCTCAACATGTGGACCAGTAAACAAATTCAGAGCAATTTAGAATTCTTTTCTCTTTTTTTTTTCTCTCCTGCAGATTTACTGATTTCCTTGCTTCCTCAGCCACAACCTGCCTTCTCTATCTCTTTTCTGTACCTCTTTCCCAGTTTTTGTAAGAGAGGGTAAATAGACTAGCAGGGGGCAGATCAGACATTGCAAGTAGCCGTGGGTGTGCAAAGAACAGTTGCACTGCACTGAAGTTTAGTTTTAATAACTAATAGAGTTCTTTACTAAATGGTAATAGAGGACCTGTGAAGTAACATTGATAGGAAAAGATTAGAGTTGCCAAAAATGTTTTGTCTTAATTAAAAAAAATAGACTTTATTTTTTTAGAGCTGTTTTAGGTTCATAGCAAAATTGGGTGGAAGGTATGGAGTCTACCCATGTTCTCCCTGCCCCCGTATATGCATAGCCACCTCCATGGTCAACATTTGGGGAATCAGTTGTTATAGTTGATGAACTTACATTGCCAAGTCATTATCACTTGAAGTAGTTTATGTTAAAGTTCATTTTGTAGTGTAGTATGTTCTACATGTTTGGACAAATGTCTAATACTGTGTTCATTATCACAGTATCATATAGAGTAGTATTATCACTGCTCTAAAAATTCAGTATTCTTCCTATTCTTCCCTCCCTTCCTTCAAACTGTTGTGATCTTTTTATTAACCTTTATAGTTTTAGGCCTTTTCCAGAATGTCATAGAGTTGGAATAATGGAGTATGTAGCCCTTTTCACCTAATTTTTAGTTTTCCTTGGTGCAGCATATTATTTACAAATTATCTCAATTATTTTTCCAAGGGCTTATTTATCTAATAGCCACTTTTCTAAGAATTTCATTAGCTCAGATTAAAACAATAACTACCATTTAGTTTTGTTAAGTAGTATTTAGCATTATTATTATGTAAGGATAGTTTGAAACACATTATAAAGCCATACACTTTTGTTTCTTTTAAGTCTCACTATTTGTCATATGCAAGAGAGGTCATGTAGACTGAACAATATATTAGAAGATTCATTTGAGAATTTAGTGTATGTGACTGCATTATTTTAATATTCTAAATTAATATTCAGTTAAAATATTAATAGAGGCCGGGGATATGGCTCAAGCGGGAACGCGCTCGCAAGGCATGAGCCGGGTGCTGGGTTTGATCCTCAGCACCACATAAAATAAAGATGCTATGTCCACCGAAAACTGAAAAATAAATATTAAAAATTTTTCTCTCTCTCTTCTCTCTCTCTCTCTTTAAAAAAAAAAAATGCCAATTCGACTTCACCTCTCTGGTACACGTCCCACCTCTCCATACACCCTTTCACTTTTCCTATCTTTAGGAAAAAAAGTATTCATAATAAAACTTTAAAATATAGGCATTAAATATATATTCTGGACACTAAAGTGATGATATATGAAGAAAAAATTGTGGAATTGGGCTACGAAAATCATTATGAGCATGGACAAGTCATTTTTATCTATGAACTTCCTTCTTCTTTTAGGAATATGGAAAAAAACATACACGTCATGGGTTATTTTTAAGGACTATATGAGCTGTTTGTATGAGTCTGATGTAAATTTGAACTCATTATAAAAAATGTGAGGAGTTAATTGGTTAGTGACTCAAACTTTATTAATATTTTCAACTTCAAAAAATTTTTTTTAGTTTTTATAGATAATAAAGAAGAAAAATATTTGTTTGAGGCTAATAAGGCAATACTGCTGGAAAGGTGGTTATTTAGCTGTATCTGAAAATAAAATGACTTCATTTTTTAAAATATATTTTTTAGTTGTAGATGGACACAATATCTTTATTGTATTTATTTTTTTATGTGGTGCTGAGGATCAAACCCACTGCCTCGTGCATGCGGGGTAAGGTTCAACCACTGAGCTATAGTCCCAGCCCATGACTTCTTTTTTTTATTGCATGTATCTCATTGATTAAACCTGCTTATGTCTTCTCATTAAAAGCATACACTTTGGGATGTTCTTCTTGTGTAAGAAAGTTCTGGGCAAGAGAATGAAAATAGCTTTGTGAAGTTGAATTCCTGAGGCAGGTAATATAATGAATTCAAAATTCAATTGTAGTTTCAATCAAAATGTCCCTCTAGTTATAAATATTAAAACAATGGATAGTGACATAATATTTTAAATTCACGAAAACTTTATATTTCCCAGTTTGAGAATTATTATATTTCATTCTCAGCTTTTGTATTTTTACTAATTTAAAATTACTTTTTTGTTAGTTTCACAATGCATTGTATGGTCAAAGACAGAATGATGGAATATCCTATGAAAAAGATGTAAGAAGAACTGTTCAACCACTAACCCCTAAGGAAGAAATGAGGAATCAAAAAGGAATTGTCATTAGAAAATAAGAAAGAATATGTACAATTCCCATTTGGGGGTTATCTGACTTAAGATGTTAAGAATGAGGGAGTAAAAAAATTAGCAAGCATTATAGAGGAGATATGGATGAATAGCTTTTCATTTTTTGGATATGCTTATTTGATACAACTTTTCATTGTAGCAATTATAGAGAATGTTAGTTTAGAGCAATGAACTGGGTGAAAAGATAGAAAATATTCCATCCCTGTAACTGGACTTTCACTAGTTCAACCAAAATTGGGGAAATTTAGTGACACTTCCTGAAAAATCTTTGTGAATATTTAGTACCAGGTCTTGAAAACTATTTGTTTGGCCTGAGATGGAGAAACAAGTGTTAAAATTGTTGACTGAATGGCACATATTGGAGGCCTGTATTTATCCATCTTGAATTTTATGTTAATTAGAAATTGGGGAGAGTCAACTATGATTTTCTATCATTAGTAGACTAATTTTTAACTTGCTCTGGTTATTTAAAATTGGATAGAGACGATAATTGTTTCAAAACCACAGGCAAAGAAGTAGAGCAGCATATTACCTTATTCTACCTTTCTGTAGGATTTTATTCCATAATGATTCAAATTGACTTATTAGATTAATATGAGTATATTTGGTATTTGAATTAGTTTTAGGTCTGGACACTTAAGTGCTAGTTAAGCTTAATTTCACAGTCAATGATTTTTGTAAAATTCCTCTCTGACCAGGTTACTCTTCTATTTAAAATAGTCCTGTGGCTTCTAGTTGCCATTAGATTAAACTGAAAACTTGCTTAAATTAGTTTAAAAGACCCTTTCCTACCTGGTCTTCCTTGTCTTTTTTTAACATTTTCTTTTTTATACTTCAGCATTAGCATTCTATACTCCAGTCAGACTAATTTATAGGTAATACATTCTAGTTTACTTTGACCTTTATTTCATTTTCTAAATTTATAAATGTCAGCAGAATGCATTATAATTCTTATTACACATATAGAACACCATTTTTTTGTATCTTTGGTTGTATACATAGTGTATTCACACCAATATGTATCTTCATACCTTTACTTTGGATAATAATGATCATCACATTCTACCATCATTAATAAACCCATGCCACCTCCCTTCCCCTCCCAACCCTCTGCCCTATCTAGAGTTTGTCTATTCCTCCCATGCTCCTATTCCCCATCCCACTATGAGTCAGCCTCCTTACATCAAAGAAAACATTCGGCATTAAGTTTTTTGGGATTGGCTAACTTCACTTAGCATTATCTTCTCTAACTCCATCCATTTACCTGAAAATGCCATGATTTTATTCTCGTTTATTGCTGAGTAATATTTCATTGTGTATATATACCACATTTTTTAATCCATTCATCTACTGAAGGGCATCTGGGTTGGTTCCACAGTTTAGCTATTGTGAATTGTGCTGCTATGAACATCGATGTGGCTGTGTCCCTGTAGTATGCTGTTTTTAAGTGCTTTGTGTATAGACTGAGGAGAGGGATAGTTGGGTCAAATGGTGGTTCCATTCCCAGTTTTCCAAAAAATATCCATACTGCTTTCCAGATTGGTTGCACCAACTTG